TAAGTACAGCGGTGCAGGTTAATTCAGAAATCATGCAGAAAGAAACAATTCAAAAATCAGGTACAAAGTAGAAAAGAACATCCTTTCCAGCATGGAAATGAAAGCTAATGAGTCCTCACTCATGCAAACAGGATCAAATTCTGTTGATACCATACAACTGCAACGTCTCCATCCAAAACACAAGCCAATAGGAAGTTAGCTGGTTAACCACCAGTGCCAGATACTACTGTCTGTCCCTAAAAAAGACACAGCAGAAGCACATCTAAACTGGATGCAGCAGCATTTGTCACACTGTGTTGTCTGGTATCTTTAAAATGTCACTTTTAGAAATACTACTTTTAGAACTGGAATGAAAGGAGTAGGTTTGGACATAAGTCATTACTATCTCCAGTTTCAATTCTTGCTTCAGTATCACGCTTGTTCACAGGCAGCATAGTCTTCAGGATAAGCCTATGTCTTTTCTAAAATGTATATCAATACCAGTCTGCGAAGAAACTAGTGTTTAAAAAGGGTTTAAATGAAGACTGCCAAACCTGATGGAGCAGTATGGAAACAGAAGAGAAAGGTATGGCTAGATGTGCTCGTGCTGGGAAGGGAGAAGAGATGGAAGGTGAAAAGAAGAAGAACAGAAATCAAAAGTGATGTTACGGCATACAGGAGACATAGGATATTGCTATGGGAAAGGCAAAGAAAATTATAGCAGTCTTGAAAGATCCAGCAGCAAAGCAAGCCAAGGGATTCTGTACCTCATCTAATGAAGCAACTGAAAATGCCTTGAAATGCAGCTTGCATATGGATTGCTTATGGTAGCTCAAAAAGCTCTAATTTTTTTGTTTTCCTTTCTGAAAGAAACATCCAACCCTCTTCAACTCCAGTAATCCCATCTCTAGAAAATCAGTCTATTTTCTAAATTGACCTATGTTCAGTATAAACAAATTCTGTGTGCCCCTATCTTCAGAACTCAACTGCACTCTGACCTTGTTGCAGGCACTTTGTATTTTCATGAAGAAATGGAACAGAGAAAAAAAGTATTTTTATGCTCATAGAATGGTTTGTGTTGGAAGGGACCTTAAAAAGCACTCACTTCCAACCCGCCTGCCACGTGCAGGGACACTTCCATTAGATCAGATTGCTCAAAGCCCCATCCAACCTGACCTTGAACACTTCCAGTGATGGGGCATCCTCAGCTGCTATGGGCAACTTGTGCCAATGCCTCACAACCCTCACAACAAAAAATTTCTTCCTAATATCTAATCTAAATCTACCCATCAGCTTAAGGTCATTCCCCCTTGTCCTATCACTGCCCTTGTAATAAGTCCCTCTCCAGCTTTCTTGTAGCCCTCATCAGGTACTGCAAGGTGCTATTAGGTCTCCCCAGAACCTTCTCTTCTCCAGGCTGAACAGCCCCAGCTCCCTCAGCCTGTCTTCACAGGAGAGATGTTCTAGCCCCCTGGGAATCTTTGTGGTTCCTCTCTGGACTTGCTCCAACAGGTCCATGTCTTTTTTATGTTGGGGGCTCCAGAGCTCAAGGCAGCACTCCAGGTGGGGTCTCACCAGAGTGGAGTAGAGGAGCAGAGTCCCTCCCTAAAACTGCTGGTCACATCTCTTTTGAAGCAGTGCAGGGTACCATTTGCCTGCTCTGCAAGTGCACGTTGCCATGTGATGTTGAGCTTCTCATCCACTAACATCCTTTCTGGCAGGGCTGTTCTCAGCCCATTCTCCACCCAACCTGTACTTGTTTTTGGGATTGTCCCAACCCAGGTGAAGGACTTTACACTTGGTCTTATTGACTTTCATGACGTTTGCACAGACCCACCTGTCAAGCCTGTCAAGGTCCCTCTGGATGGCAACTCCAGCATGTTGACTGCACCACTCATGACAAACTTGCTGAGAGTGCCCTTGATCCCATTGTCCATGTCATCCACAAAGATTAAAACAGCACTGGTCCCAGTACTGACTCCTGTGGAATGCCACTCATCACTGGTCTCCTCTCAGACACTGAGCCATTGACTGCAACTCTTTGTGTGTACTATCCAGCCCATTACTCATCCATCAAGTGGCCCATCTGTCAAATCTATGTCTCTCCAATTTAAAGACAAGGATGTTGTGCCAGACAGTGTAAAATTATGACATCAACTGTTCTTCCCTCATCCACCACTGCTATAACCCCATTGTAGGAGGCTACCAAACTTGTCAGGCACAAATTTGCCCTTACTGAATCTATGTTGCCTGTCACCGATCCCTTTTTTAGTTTCCATGTAGCTTAGCATGGCTTCCAGGATGATATGCTCCATGATCTTGCCAGGCACAGAACTACTAGCATGTAGTTCCCTCAGTCTTCCTTATTTTCCTGTTTCAAAATGGGGATTATTTTGCCCTCCTTCTAGTCAGTGGGCACTTCATCAGACTGCCACAACCTCTCAAATATGGTGGATACTTGTTTGGCCACTTCCTTGGCCAGTTCCCTCAGTACTGAATGTATCTTGTCAGGTCCCATGGACTTGTGCAGCTTCATGTTCCTTAAATAGTCTCAGATCTGATGATCTTCTACAGTTCTTCATTCTCTCAATCCTTAGAATCATAGAATCAACCGGGCAGGAAAAGACCTCTGAGATCAAGTCCAACCCTTGATCCAACACTGCCATGGTTACTAAATCATGGCACTCAGTGCCACATCCAGTCTCATCTTAAAAACCTTCAGGGACAGAGAATCCACCACTTCCCCGGGCAGCCCATTCCAATGCCTGATTACTCTCTCCATAAAAAATTTCTTCCTAATATCCAATCTAAACCTCCCCTGGCAGAGCTTAAGACCATTCCCTCTTCTCCTACTGCTGATTGCCTGGGAGAAGAGACCAAACCCCACCTGGCTACAACCTCCTTTCAGGGAGTTGTAGAGAGTGATGAGGTCACCCCTGAGCCTCCTCTTCTCCAGACTAAACAACCCCAGCCCCCTCAGCCTCTCCTCATAGGACTTGTGCTCGAGTTCCTTCACCAGCCTGGTTGCTCTTCTCTGGACCCACTCCAGCACCTCAATATCCTTCCTGAACTGAGGGGCCCAGAACTGGACACAGTACTCAAAGTGTGGCCTCTCAGCCTTCTACATGTCCTGCTAACGAGGCCTCCAGAGAGATCCCATATTTTCCCTAGTCTGGCTTTTATAACTGACATACCTGTAGAAGGTTTCCTTGTTGCCCATTGACATCCCCAGACAGATTTAATTCCATCAAGGCTTTGTCCTTCCTAACCCAATCCCTGGCTGCTCAGATAATTTTTCTGTATTTCCCTCAGGTTACCTGCCCCTGCTTCCACACACTGCAGGCTTCATTTTGTGTTTGAGCCTGTCCAGGAGCTCCTTGTTCAACCACACAGGCCTCCTGGTGTATTTGTCTAACTTCCTCTTTGTTGGGATGCATCACTCCTGAGCTTGGAAGAGGTAAATTCATGCTAATCATTTAGGTAGAAAACAAAAGAGGCAAAAGAACACCCCAAACTTATTTTTTCCTTTGTGCTGTTTAGGTCTTGAATACAACGTAAGACACAGTCCTCCCCAGCTTCCACCCTGTCATTTCAGAAATCATTTATCAAACACTGCAAAATTAGAAAAAAAGGGGTACGTGGGGGAAGCAGGAATATCTGAAAGATCACAGGACATATTTCGTTCACTATCCCACCTTCCCTAAAGAGTTTATCACCACTCAGAGATGTGTCTAACTTAGAAATAATGAATGGCACTAACTTTCAGAGCCACCATGCATTCATAGCACATTAGCACACAGGTGGTTTTTTCTAACAACTCCTGCTATACATAATTTTTTCACCAATACATACTGTCATTTTTATTTTGAATTCTAAATTATTTCCAAAAAATGATGTGAAGGGTTATATTTCACCTGTGGATTTTTAAAAAATTGCTTTTATTTTTTAAAAAGTCAGATGAATAACTGGACTGCAATTCAAAATGGCAACAACAATAGCAAAAAAGCCCACCCTAAATACTAATAGTTAGTACAGAAAATGGCTTATGCGTTTCTTGCTAGTGAAACACATCTTCCTGTCCCATTCCACACCCAAAAATGAAGAATTTTCTACTTTTAAACAGATAAATCAGAACTGTTATTTACATAATAGGCGTTCTGGTTTCATATTTGCTTTTGCTTACATCTCTGGATTTGCTGCCTTTTGTTTAATAATATAACACACAGAGCAACAGTTAAGAGATAACACACAGATTTATAAGTTACCATTAATGGCTCAGTAGTCCTACTCAGTAAGAAAGGGACTGCATGTCTGAAAAACCTGTTGTCTTTAAAAATGAAGAAAATTAGTAACACAATAGTCTTCACTGCATGGCATTTGCATAAAACGAAATTTGGGCCTCATCAAGGCAACTCTGTCTTCATTCGAGTTGCCTTCACTTAAGTGACCAGCATCATTTGCATAAGTAATATCCTGTAGTTTGCATTTTAAGTTGAGCCATCTCAGTTTGGTTGTTTGGTTGATTGTACAATTGATAACTGCTACACCCTTTGGTTCATGCCTGCTGGAACACTTCTGCTAAATTCACAAGCTTCGGATTGCTTTAATAACAACTTGTCATCAAAAGAACACAGACAACCTTTTCCTCAGTAAATGTTTTACTCCGTCACTTGGGGATAGATTTGGGAGTCACTTTACTTTGTAGCTTTTGTCAAAGCCTTTTTTTTCCCCCCTAAAACAGTAACTCAATGAAAACAAATGAAAACAAGCAACAAAACTACTATTTCATGCCTTGATAACTCTATTTTTCCACTTCCAGTAATAAACTGAATTTGTGCCTTTAAACTCGCTTAGGAAATGCCATCATCATAAACTGTACATTGCTCAGGACTCTTTAACTACTTAATTAGCTACTAAAACACTGCAAAGAAGCTGATGTTATACCAGAAGAGAAGCAAAAATGAGCCAAACTCCGCGCGTCCCCCACCCTCTTCACGACAAGTGTTTGCGTAAGCCCTTACCTGCTGGGTAACGTTCGATAACGGGCCAGTTGTCCACCTGTAACGTGGCATTGCCACCACTCCTTGTGAAGCGAACTACATGGTATTTCCCGTCATTAATGATTGCGTTCATCTCTTCAATAGCGATGTCATCGGTTCCAACATTAAATTTAACTCCAATTTTTCCCTGGTGCTGCATATTTAAAAAAAAAAAAAAAAAAAAAGGAAGAAGAAAGAGAAGAACTAATTAAGACTTGTTTTAGCAAGAAACTGAGACAGTGTGTCACACAGGGAAAGATTTCTAACAACATCTTCCCTCCTCAGATGTAACTTCTGAAGACTTGCTTGTTGTAGTGACAAGCCTTCTGACAGCTTAGTAGGTCTGTGACGTCTTTTTGATGGATAATTGATATTCCAAAGGAGTTATTTCACCAAACTGAGGTCTCTTCTTTTCCAAGAGATTCAGACCAAGATGAGGAGGGGGGAAGGAGGAGAAAAGCTCAAGGTTTCCTTCTTTGTCCTCTCCCTCAGCTCCAAAAGGATAAAACACAGTTTTTCCCTTTAGACTTTCAAAACAGAAATCCTTGCAGTGTCACTTGGAAGAGATACAAGAATTTTCTGGCTATAAAAGCCAGGGCCCAGCCCTGCTTCTCCTTTTTCCAAACCTCATTCATAGTCCAATGCTTCACAAATGGTAACAAAGGAGGAACCTTTTTTTTAATGGTGAGATTTTTGGCATCATATTGTAGTAACTGTGAATCATTAAGCCAAGAACAGACTGACTGACTAAAAAAGACTTTCCTGTTCAACGCCAGAGAGCAGTGAGAGCTATTTGCTGACACAGGGATGGTGTATTGTTCCCACTAAGGGCAGAGGCTTATTCTTTTGCTGGATTTGCCTATAAACTCCTGTGTCTGAGTGCATACAAGGCTAAGGGGACTACCCACATACCTTAGACTAAGGCTGTAGATTTTCCAGATGATTATGATATTGGCATGTTTTCATTTTTATTGATTTTTAATTATTAAGCTGTTCACTCTAATGAGACATTTACATTTTAATAAAGTCTTTCAATGTCTATTAAAATTTAACTTAAGGGCTTCGTGATTTTTTTTTCTCCTGTAAAATCAATTCTGTTCCTCAAAAAAGGTATTTACTACACTGAGGAGAAAAAAAGAAAACCATTGTACAGTATGAGATTAGGGACTTGTGCATAATAAGTGGTAATTCTATCTGAAATTTCATGTCCTTGGTACTAGTACATCTTTCTTAGTTTTTACACTTCCAGATGAAACACAATTAAATGTTCACCTCTCCATAGCTCTTGTGTCTGTTCCCTCTTCCTCTTACTACCCTAACATGACTCCCTGTAGAAACTGTAGCTCATCTCTGCAGCTCATCTCTGTAAGTCCCTCAAGCAAAGAACTCAGGAGTTCTTCTGCCTTTTATTTTCTTTTTAAATACCTGAATTTTTTTTCCAATAGTGTTTGTATATTGCAATTGCACAGCTGAGCAGCTGCTGAACACCTTTGGAGCTCCTCAACATTTTGGTATTAAGTTTTCACCTCTTCAGCTATGAATTTTTTTTAAATCAATAAAAGGACCATTCCCTCATGTGATTTGCTTGATTGATTAAAAACTGTTCTAAACATTCCCATTTCTTACGTGTGGATTGTTTTAAAATTTCTCTACTGGCTGGTCCTACTTTTCCATGCCAATAGGGTGTCAATAGGGGACCCACCTCATCCAATACATACTCATCTTTTGCCTCCCATGTGAGCTGCATGGCAATTTCCCAGTTTTCTTGGGTAAGTAACTGTAGCTCTTCCTTATTTCAAATGTGTCAGCTACAACTTAGAATAGATTTCGCCCATTTTCTCCCATGGATAAAGTAGCTTATTTGTTTCACATGTTCCATTCATATGCTTACTCTCTTTACACAGAAACATATACAAAGAAATATAATTTTGTCCTAGATTTAAAACAGTCTCCTCTTTTACTAATCTATGAAATGCAGAAAACCAGCTAAGAATGATAATGGCATATGCACCTTTTCACAGTACTTTCAAGAAATCAAAGGCTTTGAGGATTAAAAAAGCTGACTAATTTTACAGTGATTCATAATTATACTATTCAGAACCTACACTTTATGTACCTGCTTTCCTATTCGCTATATATGTATATACTTATATTATTTTAGATTATAAAAGAAAAAAACAACAAGGAAAAAACACCTTTAAAATGAATAGACCAGGTGCAGGTAAAAAGAAGTGTCATACAAGGCAAATATATCAACAGCATTTCCAAAATTAGAGCATGTGGTGCTGCAATGGTCACCAAGTTACCATTTGCAAATTGCCAGGAATTGACAAGTGAAATGAATGCCTTACAGACTTGAAGGCAGACCTTTAGCCTTCCCTTATAGATATATACTTACTAGTTAAAAAAAAGGCAAGTTTCCCTACCTTCCCTACATCTGTACAGAAGTACTGTGCACAGACACCAAGCAAGCAGCTGCAATAGCAAATGTCACCCTAATAGATGATAACATACTATAGTAATTTCTTTGGTTTTATTTCTAACATATTTATGTAGTTGAGGCCACGAAAACCTCCATTTTTAAAGGATACACTTCATTGTTTCCACACTTCCTCAGCACTTGTGGCCGTCTATGTATCCCCGCATAAAACAAGGAAGCAAATCTGTGTTTCAAATTGGAAGAGTTCCTGATTATTGCATCTATTTTAAGCTTGACTCCTGGACATAACGTTAGACATGACATGAATTACAACCCCATTGTGCACAGCCCTTTAGAACTACAAAACAAAATATGATGCAAGTCTTGACAGTACATGGACCCAAGCAGATGATGCCACTACCACAGAGCAGCAAGTCACCATGTATCAGCTGAGCTCAGATAAGCACCTCTGTATGTAGGCAGCGGGTTTTCTAAGCCCTTGCATAATCATGCAGCAGTTTGACTGCATTCCTTCTTCACTGCAAGATAACATTATTTTTTCATTTGTCTTTGTCACGTTATCTTCATTTATCTTTGGTTAAGACCATGTCCACATTCAGTTATTGCAGATCAGCTGACATGCAGTAACCTGCCTAGATAACATGATGTCAGCCCTCAGCCTTTTTATGCTTAATTTAATGGGCCTGTAGCCTGCTAAAAAGAACTGGTTTTTATTTTTCCTCTTTTCAGAGCAATATGGTAGTGCAGAAAGGAAAGAGACTGATAAAACTGAAGCCTACTACATTACTACTTTCACTTTGCCAGCCTCACTGGCATAGTACAGTAGTAGAATTTTTCCTTCATCACTTTTTCATTCAAAATAATCTTAAAAGTCATTCTTCCTATCAGAAACAGCCTCAGACAAATGCTGAATGAGAGGTTCCCTCTTCAGCACCCTGATGATGGGCACTATGGAAAGTCTGTTCATCACTAAGTACTACAATAAGTCAACATTACTATTGAATGCTGCCATCCCTGCCAGTGACCCAGAATAGTACAGACTCATATTCCTAGAAGGTTATGTTTTCCCACAAGCAAAGACAATAATTTTAGAGCTCCCATGATAAAAGTCAGCTCTGTACACAGGGACCAGAGAAGCCCACCGTGCTGCTCATGGTTCTCAGCCTGTGTTTTTTTATCTCAGCCTCACCTGTTTGTGAGAGTACATAGCAATTAAATCAATTTCTTTTCCTATTGTGCCTTTTTCTATTTTAAACTGGTCACAATAACAGAGTGGAGACATGTAGGAGCTGGGAGAGTCTCCAATTTTACTTTCAAGAAAGACCAAAGGAGAGACTGCACCTTCAGGAGAAGAGGGAAGCATTTTGAGGAGTGACCTAAAATTTGTTCTGTTTCTCTGAAAATTATTTTGAACTGCAAACCCAAATTTATACCATGAATAACGCTACAACCACCATATCACCACCACTGCTCCCTGGGACAATGCAGCACAGGACCTCTGATTAATCTACAGACACACTACGTGACACTCTAAGCCCCAACCAGGAGCTCTTCAGAAATAGCTCTTGGTTTGGAGGTCCTTAGGACATGTAGCTCTCCTGTTTCTGAGGCCAGGGTAACTTTTCTTTCTACAGTAATTACACAGGCAGGTAAGTCAATTTGGTGTTTCCTAAAGTGCCCCTGTGCCTCACTGCAACATGCAATGTAGGCTCTGTCTACAGTTTAAATTCTTCTGTCCAGGCACTTGTAGGAGTCCAAGCTCACAGGCTAAGGATAAATACATTAATGGCTTCAAAGCAATTGGATAAAACCATGAGATATACATGTTTAGTTCCAACTCTACACTCCTAATGAGCTCTGAAATGCTGGGAGCTTTGATTGCTCAGATAGGATGGGATGTGTATGTATGTGTGTGTACATAACAATCACTTCAAAATGTTTTGTCTTCAAAAGCACTGGCAACTACTACTGTAATCTAGCAACTCCAGTGAAGTACTTTCAAGCCTGTTTTATGAATTCTGTACTCTGAATACTTAAAAGACTTCTGATGAAGCACCAGGAATGCTTATGAACCTAAGAACCACACAAGAAAGGTGAAATGCAAATCAAGCCAGCAGCTGACATTGCAATTTGTTCCCTGTTAGACTCTAGTTCAGGGCTACCAATTCACCAACTCCAAATGCAATAAACCCAATGCTAGTATAAAAATAAATAAATATATATATATATATACACACACACACACAGAATTGATATTTCCTATAGCATCAGCAGGATTTTACTGCTCTCTGTAGTAATAACTCTGGAATCAGTCAAACATGAGTGTGTGCAAATTTGGCACAACAGTAGTTTTAGAGGAGACTACAGACAACCTAAGCTCATAATACAACCTTTGAACACTTCCAAGGAAAAGTAATAATACTGTGACTCCCACAGGTGAACAAATAGAGAAGAAAAAATTCAAGCATGCCAGGTTGCATCTTATAGTGTCAGTCCCTGAGGAATCACTTTCTGGTGAATGTGATAACAAAGTATTAGAACTAACTGAAGGTTTACTTTTATTTTATTAAAGTGTAAGTTTCTTTAGTTTTATTGAGAAGAGTGAGATCATTTTCACTCAAATGTAATCAAAGGCTGATATTCTATATTATAGAAATTTAAGCAAAATAATTAAAATAATTTCTGGTTTTCTGGATCCTGTAAGCAAATACATA